AGTAAGAAAAGCATTTGCAAAGTAGCCAACAATTTGATTAGTACAAATGACCTGCAACTACTCCAATTAAGAGGTTTCTCGGGTTAGAAATCTGTGACCTACAATGAGTTGTCATAGAAACTGATACGTTTCAGCTCAAACATCACTTTAAAATAATGGCTTCGTTTGTCATCTCATGCCAGGTGACAGCTCCTTTGAATCCAAGATCTAGAGTCTGTCCCTACACCAGAATTCTTCTGGCAGCCCTGGGTGACAGGCAGAGCGTGTTTCTTTGCAGTTGCTGCAGTACAGGTACAGGGATATTCTCAGAGCAGGAGGATGGACTGGAAAAGCACCGGAGCGAACTAAAGGAACTGTCTGAACAGCATCTCTGGCTGTGACTAGCAAGCAAGCATGGCCAGTGTGGAAGTGGGAAGCTGGAACATGTTCCTGCCTATCTGTGCCTTTCATTTTCCATGCACCATCTCCAAGAATGATGCCCATTTCCACGAAACAATTTTTTCTGAGCTCTCTCTGCATCCATCTTATGCTGCAAGGAAATTGTAAAGCCTTTGTTGCAACTTGTGAAAGAGGGATGTTGCAGAGAGTCTGACAGTGTGTGCTTCCCCTGCCACGCCTTGCTCCTTTCACTCACATACTCTCCCTTCAAAAGCCCAGTGGACGCTGTCTCCAGAGGCTGACTTCTTGTGCTGTTGTCTTGGTTGAGGAGCTCTGGGAGTCCATGAGTCAGGGTCACACTGACTTCTTCTGCAGTCCTGCATTTCTCTTTCTCATTCCTTCTCAGCTTATGCAGGGCTCAATTGGAGGGTTTGCCATGTTTGTCAGAAAAGAAGCTGCTTTCTTCTCTTCTGGTTTTCCAGCCATGTGATAAAGCCCCTACAGCTTTAGAGCCTTTAGAACAAGGAAAGGGTAATGAGTCCTCTGTTCACCTGCAGAGAGAGGAGTTGATGCAGTCGTGTAAGACATGGAGAGCCAGAGAGATCAGCTGGAATGGAACCAGATTAAATGCATTTACTCTGCACTGTTCCATTAATGCCAAGTAATTACCACATACAGTGGGATTTTTGTTTTGTTTTGTTTTGTTTCATTTTGGCACAAGAGAATTCTCTTCAAATGTGAATGCATTAGACAGTCCGGACTTCTGGGCTCTTAGGTAAATTATAACAAGCCTTCCCTATTCCCATATGTTTCTCTCCCTTCCCCCTGGCATTTGAAAAGCTGGCAGTACAAGGATGGGAAATGCAAATGCAGAGAGGAAGTCTCTTTCCCAGTGGCAGCGATGCTGGTTCTGCTGCTCTGGTGCAAACTCGTGGCCTGACTCCTATCCCCAGGATGCTGCCTTGGCCAATTTGAAGTGGCCCAAAGATGAGTATCAGAGAAATGCTCCAGCTAGAGGAAAATTTTCACTGGGGCATATAATTCTCTTGTGGGTGAATGTGCAAGTACTGCCTGATCCCACTGGCACCCTGATCTCTGAAAGCAGTGCTGCCAAAATACAAAATTTGAGCTCAGGCTGCCATGAAATTCCTAGGCTAACCATCCATACTAGCACTAGTCACTGTCTTGAAAAAGGGATGGTGAAGGGTCAGAGAGACACAAAACTGCAGTATCAAAATTATTCTTGTATTTTGGGAGCCAGGCAGCCATAAATCTAAGAATTCTCCTCTCTGCTCAGTGAAGTGATAACTTCTATCTTGAAGAGCTGATAAGTTTTCTTGGTTTTATTTTGATGAGTATCTGGAGGAAAAGAAAAGAAAATAAACCTATTAAGGTCTGTTGCTCCTCCAGTTTTACTTTCACACATACTATCCCAGTCCCACAAATCCCCAGATCCCAACTTAAGGCTTTCAAAATGCTCACTGGGAGCTGGGTCAGCACCTCTGCCTAAAGACCTCCATCAGACTGATCATTCATGGAAAAATATTGTGCAGCACAGTGAGGTGAAGCTTACTCCATATTTGGAATGCGGATGGTGGAACCCCCTTTTTCCTCTCTTTCTTGCAGTGACTCTCAAAAAAATCCATAATATACATGCCAACTTATAGGAACCTAATTTCCCCACTTGATTCTCCCTAAAAACTCAGGCCTAAAGCTGTGTTGTGGATCCCAGCTGATGGGAAGACAGGATGACACAAGGAGAAGGAGAGAAAGGGAAAAGGAGAAGAGAGGGAGAAGGAGACAAGGAGGGAGAAGGAGACTCCATGATTGAGTATTGTCCCGATTTTCAAAGATGTTGTCCCTTTCCTTTCACTGTCTCTTAGTGGTCGGGAAGTGGGGCTCGTTCAAGATTCGCATACGTTGTGCTCCAGCTGGGGCCTGTGGCAGATCTGCCAAGGCTGGAAACGTTCAGCCATGGAAAGGAACATTTTTGCATTTCGTTTAGCTGCACCATGTTCCTGAAATAAGTTCCTGAATATTTTGTTTTGAATGTACATCTAGGCTTGTAGACATCCTGTGCTTAGGTCATGCTCCACCTTGGTCATTACTGCTTTCTAAATGAGCCACACAATTTGAGGAAAAGCAAAGGATTCAATTTTTAGGCACAAAAGTCGCATGTCAGCAGTATGTCTGCTATAGACTGTATACATGAATCATACCATATCATGCAGTGCACAAGCAGTGGAACAGGCACAGGCAGCAGCACCCTCAACTTCTATACCATGTATGTGTTCAGCAGTCAGCCAGGAGCAGTTGCCAAGACTGAACGACAGCTGTAGCTGCTGAAAAACTCTGCACAGCAGGACACACACTCAGCTTGAGCTGTGGGGAGGTTTCTTGTTTCATAGCATCAAACAAGCAGCACTCATTTTATAGGGGCTGTTACCTGCCCCTGAGCACTGGTCCTCAGACAGGGGAAGTGCAGCACACCTCCCCAGCTGGGTAAGGTCTTCCCATTAATGAAAGTACTTGTAAGATGAGAATTGTCCCGAATGTCTGCTGCAGGAAGGATGAAATCACACACTACTGTCTCGTTAGCATCCAGCTTTCCTCACTTCCCATAGAACCATGGACTCTTCACTCCATTTCACTGCTGGAGCTGGAGTATGTTAAACTTTCGCAGGTGGTGATCTTGCATTTGTCTGGTGCTGTCCTTGATGATGACATTCAGGGGTCCTTTTCCTGGCCAGTAACTGGTCATTCACTGCCTTTGGAACCTTTCCTTGTCACTCATCTCCTGCATTTTTTGTCAACTAGTTATGACTATCTTGATGGTTATTATAGAACTAATAAGTCTTCTGTCTCTGTTATCTCAAACCTTGAATTTCTATGAGAAATACAGATTGGATAAAGCACCTTTCACATTTTCGGATTAAAATGTGCACAAATCGGAATCACAATTACTATCCACAAGCTTGTTTTCTCAGTGTTAGCAAGACCATTGTAACACACAGGGTTCATCCTATTTATGCAAGATTGGAGACTAAATTTTAAAAAGAAAGAGTGAAAAAATCATAGGTCTCAGTGGGGTGAATGACCAGTAACTGCTTTGAATGTGTGCTGTTTTGTTGGGAGTCTCCTTTGGAAATAATTGTTACAGTCCCCAGGTATCCTATTACCGTGTGCTCTGGTTTTACACAGAATTTACCTGCATTATTTACAAGTTGTCTCTAACTGATCATTCCTCTTCTCTTCAGATCAGAGGATCTAATTTCCAGGGCCTTGTTATGCTGCTCATGTTGCTCTGAGAGGGAAGAGACTGACCACCTTTACATTTTTGTAAGGGTAGAATTAGACTTGCATGCATGAGGAGTATTAGAGGAATGTTTTAAAAAGTGAAGAGGAAATGGCACAAAGATAGGCCTGCCTTCCTTGATAGGTGTCACTGGACTATTCTGACACCTGGTTCTTTTGCTGAGTTCAGTTTCTGGTCAGAGGAACTGCTTTTAGTTGTAAGTTTTTGCAAGTGGGTGTTGTTTGCCTGACATTCAGTGTTGTTGGATATCCATTTCCCACAAGTTTATGTTCATCCTATCCACAGAAGCTGGCAGTCCTGCCTGTTTGGTTGCTGCTATTTAGACCTTTTATTATCAGAGTAATTTTCCCTACTCGTAAACAAAAGCAAGAAAAGAGCTTTTTCTTTGGTCAGTCCAAAGTGCTTCTCTCATCTCTGTGACTTTCCAAGAGCTGCAAATAAAAAAGGCACATTCATCACAAATTTTATTGCAAGATTTTTGTCTTTGGATATAAAATCGAGTGAATGTTATAGTTGTACAGAATCTCCTGAGTACATAGATTAATGGGTGCATGGTGATTTTGGCTGTGAGCAGTGGAAATTAATAAATTTGTCAATATATGATTTGGAGCAGGAGTTGCCATCATGAAACTTGTGGTTGCCTGGCTCTTGCCATGTTGACAGATAATAAGAGAATCAAGCTTTGTTGGGAAGGAGGGAATCCTCTCTCTCCTTTTCACTGCTGACACCCTCAGTTAAAAGCACTGCTGACTTGAAGGGATTTCTCCATCCGAGCTAATTACCCAAAATGATTTCAAAGTCTTATGCCTGTGTAAACAACTCCTAATAGGAGCTTTTTGCAGTAGCATTTACATCAAGAAGGTTTTTTCTCTTTATATCACTCATCTTGATATATGAGTTGTTGACAGAATATATTGTTTTCTCTTGTTGACAGAATATATTGATGGTCTTGCCTCCTACCTTAAGGAGCTGTCATATGACAGAGTATACCAGCCCTAAATCCAGGCTGAAATTATCCTCCTTCTATTTCCCTCAGTTTCCCCCTCATATTGTGTTGGTTTCACGGGAAGTTGAAGGTGCTTCTTTCCTGTCAGGCCTTGCATTCATCAGCAGAGGGCATCTGGGATACTCTAGAACACTGCAAGGATTGGACCTTGGATATGTGTGTTCTCCTGCCTGGGACAGGAAAACAAATTAAATTAATTAAAGTAAAACAGGTTGGATGCTATTCTGGATCAAAAACAAGTCATGGAGTGGGAAAGCTGTTATGGATAACTTAATTTACATTTTGACCCTTTCTTTACAGCCACAGGGACTTAAAACCAGAAAATCTACTGCTGGATGAAAAGAACAACATCCGGATAGCAGACTTCGGGATGGCATCTCTGCAGGTTGGGGACAGCTTGTTAGAAACCAGTTGTGGGTGAGTGTCTCAAAACATATTACAAAACTGAGGGGCTGATTCCAGACATAGAAGTTGGCTATAGAAAGGGTTTCAGTAAAGACCTGCAGTCCTGCACACTGCACTGGTGTTTCCCAGCAAGACAATAAATTTATATGATGCATGTAGTGTAGAAGAAAGCTGAAAGAAAGGGGATTTAGTGCTTTACAGTGCAAAGCAGGTCACTGCAGTTGTCACATACAGATATAAAAATCAAGGCTTTCAGGTTCGGCTTCATCTGCGTATGCTGGTGTGTTTGCATTTACTGGCCATATAATTTTTGAGAACTGAAAGCAGTGGTTGACTGTTTTAAAAAGAGGCTTTGAAAAAATATTAAGGGGTAGAAAAATGTTCTTAAATGAAATTTGCATGTCCTGTGTAGGCTGTCTGCTTGCATGCAGCTGTTCGTATTCATGCTCAACACTGCTTCTGCCAGCTCCCATGCAGGAGTGACAGGGAGAAAGCAGGGTCCTTTGCAATGACAGGCAGGCCATGAATGCAGGTACAAAGAAGCCTGTCTGGAGGAGTATTGCAGGGGCAGTCTAAAGACATTTCCATGCAAATTCAGTTGCCTTCAGGCACCACTGGACCCTGATTCCCAGTGCCAAGGTACTGTGCAAGGGCTGTGGCACTGAGCTGTAGCAAGAGCAGCAGCTGCATTGAGCTGCTGCAGCCTGGCACCGCTACACCAGCTTTTAGCTGTGCTAATTTGTTTTAACAGCAAGCACAGAAACCAGACAGTACCAGCAGATTTCCACTTCCTCCCATGCAGACTGACTTTTCTTGGCCATTGGTAGTGTGATTCTGATGACTTCAACCCAGGCCCATCCTCAGCTGATTACAGTTCATGTTTTTTTTTGGTGTCTTCTCTGGACCAAGGCAGTTCAGGGTAGACATGGAGCCATCGTGGTTGTCTCTAAAGCCCATTCACTGCCTCTCAGTCCCAGCTTTTGCCTTCCAAGTCATGAATAATGGATAGCAAACGTATTTGAAGTTCATTATATGATAGAATGCTGATTGGTGAGTAAACCAAGACCCACCAGTTCTCTCCTGTCCCTGTCACGTCAAGACATGAGCTCTTAGCAGAACAGATGAAAAGCAAGGAGCTGTGATGCCAAGGTCAACTACAAGGCCCTGCATTTGGGTAGGGAGACACTTAGTGTCATCAGTGCAGGCTGAGGGATTGAAGGATTCAGAGCAGTGCTGCTGAGAAGGGCTTGGGGGGTACTGGTGGATGAAAGGCTGGATGTGCAGCCCAGAAAGCCAAACGTGTCCTGGGATCCAAAACATCGTGGCCAGCAGAGAGAGGGAGAGGATGCTGCCTCTCTGCTCTGCTTTGCTCTGCTCTGGTGAGACCTGCACTGTATCCAGCTTTGGGGGATCCCATAGCATAAGAAGGATATGAATCTCTTAGAGTGGGCCCAGAGGAGGCCATGAAGCTGGTTGCAGGGCTGTAACATCTTCCCTAAGGGCAGACTGATAGAGTTGGGGTTATTCAGTCTGGAGAGAAAAGGCTCCAGGAGACCTTGTTGCAAATTTTCAGTACTGAAAGGGGGACTATAAAAAAGATGAGGACAGACTTTATAGCAGGACCTGTTGTGGTAGGACAAGGGATAATTGTTTTAAGCTGAAAAAGAGTCAATGTGGAAGAAGTTTTTTACATTGAGGGTAATAAAACACTGAACAGGTTTCCCAGAGAGATGGTAGATTGTTTAGGTGGTAGATGGTTTTGATGGTAGAATGTTTCCAAAAAAAAGGGTCAATGTGGATTAGATACAAGGAAGAAGTTTTTTACATTGAGGGTAATAAAACACTGAACAGGTTTCCCAGAGAGATGGTAGATTGTTTAGGTGGTAGATGGTTTTGATGGTAGAATGTTTCCAATCCCTGGAAACATTCAACGTCTGATTGGATGGGGCTCTGAGAAACTTGATCTAGTTGAATATATCCCTGCTTATTGCAGGAGCATTGGATTAGTTAAGTTTTAAAGATCCCTTCCAATCCAGACCATTTTGTGATTCTGCACACCTCTTGCTTGCAGCTTCTTTCAAACTTCCCCTCTAGATCATAAAATGCAGTCCTCCCTGCAGTTGCCACAAAGCCTCTATACTCTCTAGAGAAAATTGTTCCACTTCCTTCCATGAGAAAAAAAAAAAAAAGAGGAAGTATAAAAGCCAACCCACCCTCAACTGCCTTGCAGGATTTTTCATACTCCTTGGGAACCTCTCGGTAGGGTTCTTGTTCTTGTTAGCACCGAGCTCTGTTATCCGTATCTGGAGTCTCAAAGGGAGGCTTCCTTCCCAGAAGCTGTGCTGGAATTCAAACCTGCATGCTTCAAGCAGATCCAGCCCCCACGTTGTGGCCTTAAAATGCACTAATAAAGAAATCAATGGAATGGAAGAGATGTGCCTGTAATAAACAGAACACAGCAGCAACGCTATGATCTCCTGCCTTGCAGATGCATTTTAAGTGTGTTGCCAATCACTAGACCTCCATGTGAGCTATTACACCACTTCATTAATTCTCCTGGCATGCAGCCCAGCATGGCTGATACTGGTGTTGTGTGATCTCTTTGGTTTTGGGGGGGAAGGAAGGAAGGAAGGAATATATAACCAAATGCCACACTGTTCACAGAGAAAGGTAATCCAGTTATGACTCCATTTCCTTTGGAGCACATGCAGTAACCAACCTCAGAGCTTTTCAAGGCAACAGTTTTACCTACCCATGTAGTTGGTACTTTCAGCCAGCATGAAAAGGAACAAAACAGAGTGAATCATGGCTGAGATATTGAGCTTTAATGAGATGCTCCTCCGTGCACCCATAAGTTAATTTTGAGAATGGCTTTTCCGTACTGTGAACACTGATAATGAGATGAAACTGTAACATTTCCATTGACAGTCATGCAGGGAGTCTCCAGGTATTTCTGTCAGTCAGAGTGGGAGGCTCAGATGGGGTTGAGCTGTGTGATACAGCTAACTTTGTCAGTTCAGCGAAGCGGGGAGACTGCAGTCAAAAATTCTTTGCTATCACAAGTGAACTGCTAACTTTAGTCCAAAGTTTGGGTAGTCTTCAGGTCACCACTGAGTCTTGACTGGCATCATGAAGAGTAGCCTCATGTAGCCTGAGGTGTGATGTAATTGCATATCTCAGAGTCACTGTTTTCTGGGAGGTACTCCTTAGGCCTGCATGGTTTTCTGTAGCACTGATAGTACTGACAGTCTACCTGGAGGACACAATGAAAGTTCTATCCAGATGTGTTTGTGTAGGAGGAGGCAAGGATGGACTTGCTGTTTCACTGACATAATTTGTCATTGAAAGACTGCACATTCAGCCTTAATTATAATGAGTCCACATTATAGAAATGTGTATTATGTGAATCCTGCATATGCACAGTGCAGAGGACTATGCTGTAGTTCTTTTTAGTGTTTTTAGACCCTTAAGGGGAAGAGGAGCTGTGTGTAGGCTCTGCAGGACTTCTGCTTATGGCAGAAATTGCGCTGCAAGGCAGTCTTACGGAGAGATGGTCCTTGAAATGCCAGAATAACAGTGAGTCTCTTCATCCCTTCAGAAGCAGGGAGGGTCTGTCAGCTAACAGCAGACAAAGAAGGAAGAAAAAGATGTGATAGGCTGCTTCTTCTATTATTTTAGATTTCTTCAGTTCTTCTTCCTCTTTACCCATCCAGGCAGTGGCATGCAGAGACACTCCCCATCTCTCTCAGTGATTCTTCCTGGCATGCTGCCTTGCAGTGTTTCAGAATTGGAGAGGTTGTCCAATCCATCCTGGGTTGTCACTAGGCAAGAAGAGTGAGTGCCTTTTGGTTAAACCTCGGGTCTCAGGTTATCTGAGCTTGATTTCTATCTCTGCTGAAGGCATTCACAGTGGTCTAGGACAAGATGCATTGCCCTTCTCTGTTTCAGTTCTCCATCTTAGCAAGACTTTGGTGTATGAGCAGACCTGTGGTGAGCAGATAATTCAGAAGGCAGGTACACCTCCTTGTCCAAGCACCCTTTCTGATTTTAATTACATGACATAATGCTGCACATATTCTTTTCCCCTTATAATAAACATGTACAAATATCTAAAACTTAGGCAGTCATTGTTAGGGTTGCAAATTTAAGTTCTTCAATTTGGAAATGCCAGAACTAGTGCTTTTTACTAATCTCATCTAATTCATCTCATGAATAGCTTCCATTTCCAGCACTCCATTCTTATGTCCTTCCTGATTTGTACCACAGTCTAGCTGACTTGTCCCATTCATTTCTGCTCCATATTTGGCCCCAAATCCCAGATTGTTTTCTCTTTTTTACTAGGCTCCAGCTCCAGTTTTCATTACCTGGTTGTGTGAGTCAATTGCTACCAGTCCTAGATCTACTTCATTAGTTTTGCACTCAGTTTGTTTTTAAGTTTGGCACCATGTGGTGACCCCACCCACAGCAGCTCAGAGTTTCAGATAAAAAAATTACTCTGTGAAGTGTTGCCAGTGCAGGTAGGATTTTGATCCTAATGCTCTAGAGAGTTTCTGCTAGTAAATGCAAATTGCAGTTTTCTAGTGAAATGCAATATTTCTATGATATAATTTCTAGAGAATGCAAATAAGTACTCAGGTTTTCCCTTTGCAGGGGAGGATACTAGAAATTTTTCTCTTTTTTTATATGGAAAAACATTTATTCAAAATTAGACTTAGATAGTGGAAGTGCTTCAGCCCAATCACAGCATGCATGCATACAAATGCATGAAACCAGTCTGAGACAGACAAACAGCAAGGAAAATTGTTGTTATGTTGATAGTGAGTTTCAAGGAACTTAAAATGAGGAGTATAAAGGGAAATACCAGACAACCTTATTAATGACCATTGGTACCAGTATCACCTATAATACATCACAAGGTATGTTAAAAGAGCTTGGATTCTGAAAAATCAATCCCTGATAATTTAAGATGTGCGTTTCTTCAGCTTGACAGTGCAGCATTTACCCAGCCTGTG